GATGAATTATGTATTATCGTGAGGGTGTGACTGAAAAAATCTACCACTTTATTTGTAGGACAATGTGACCACTTGTTTATTAAAATTATTAGCAAGCTACTATATATTACATATATAATTTGTAGATTTAGCTAAAAACTAAACTGTTGCTGATCATTTTGGTATGACAACTAAATTGACATGATTTGATACCTGTGCATTTAGTTAGCTACCTGAATAAGAATTGCTTGTTGCTTATCATTTTGAAAAAAGGTCTAGGGCTCGCGGAGTAATATGTAAATTCCGAGGAAAGGGCTACTATAATATTTTTAAATAAAATTAAAATTATTGAAAATTAAACATTTTTAATTACCTGAAACCTTAAGCTACCTATTGGAGGAAGTCCATATGGAATGCCTTTAAAAGTGTGAAATATTTTGCCATCATTAGTTCGGAGATCTAGCCCTCGCAATGTACCCTGTGTAATTCTAATCGCAGGATCTGCAAACTGTATATTAATTCAAATTTAACGGATTTCAGTGCCAACTACGCAAGTCTAAGGAACAAAGTAAAATTCAACAATATCTCGCGTTCCAAAACGAACAATTTCATAGGCGATCTGATGCCACTTTAATATCTATCGCCATAGTCAAGACCACAGTTTTACATGAACATTTTCAGAAAAAAATATGGTCCTATTTAGAAAAAGGTGAGTATTGTTAATGATAAATCAATGAAACAAATTAAGTACCGTACGTCGAGTAGACAGCAAGTAGCTCCATGTTGTTTATTTGATCTAATTTTTATTATTTTATTATTATTATTATTATATTTTATTATATATTTATTTTATTACTAATTTTTATATAATTTATGTGACTATGGTTAAAATCTGACGATTTCTCATTGCTATTAATTATACATTACAGAAGGTAGTAGAGATAATTAAGTTTCACGTAAAAATATTAATTACTGAATAGAAAAATCGTGTATTATTTTTCATGTTTTTATATAAAGCTATATGCAAAAATACCTAGTTTTACCTAGTTCCTTCCTTGAATGAACACAGTTCCTCCTGCTTATCCTATCTACTTACCGCAGATAAAATCAATCCTAGGACCAAACAGTAATTCTCAATCAAGCAAAGCAACAGAAACAATTTTATTACAAAAATGATTTGACATTCATGCGACTATATTCCATTTTTCAATGATGTACTTATAATATTAAATTGCATTTGTTTGTACAGGGTGTTCGCTAAAGCATTACTGTGTAGATATATTGCATTTAAGTTTGCTGTAATAATTCTACACCACATCCACTTCGTTTTCATTTTATAAAAAAAAAACATACGAATTAGAAATATTTCCATGACTTCATAAACCAGGACTGCTGGGACAAATTCAACGAAAACTTTTCGTGCTCTATCTGGTAAGTAATTTGGTAACATTGTGCTTTTATTGCAAGAATCTTTAAAAATAGGGAAATATTAATACGAGAACGTAATCGAAGATGAGAGTGGGCAGAAGTATGGAAACAGTGTAGGTAACTTATCGAGTGCGCCATATAATCCAGGCTGAATTTACCTCACTACTGTACTTTATGTGGTTGGCTACTATATTACTATAAGACCACTACTACCAATTTTGTTAGTCCCTTCAAACTTTCAACGTCACCCTATAACCTACTTGTAAGTTATCACATAGGTACCGAAAACCTTTTGATTATTTGCTCAATTATCATATAATGGCCGCCGAATTCTACAATTCTGGTAAGCATAATTTTATATTTATCACTTTACTTTCACTTTTAAAGTGTCCCCCAAAACTAACCAAAATAAAGGGATTTAAATGATCTAATAAATTGTATAATCACTAATATCTACGTGTTTCATTTTAAATCTCATTTTCAACCAATAAGTCCTAGTAGCGTTCAAGACGTGGCCAATTCCACAAGATGCAGTTTCAGACTTCGTTAAACGTCCTGGGAAAACGAGTTAAGTGCGTGGAAACATTTTAAAATTCGTATTCTCTTAGATACAGTTGGCCCTCCTTATCTTACTTCGATCTAGCTTTTAAATACAACTGATCACTAGTTCGTGCAGTTCTTATTTACTTATTTTACTGTCTTTTGAACAGGTTTTTTTTTATTAAATTACGCCAGAAATAAAAATTCGGATGGGTAAGATCACTGAGCAATACCGCGGGTGGAACAGGTGTGAGAACGAATTTTCTCAGAAGACGAAAAATACAGAAAAGTTTTCTTGATATCCGATTTGCTTCATATCTGTCATATCTATAGAAAATTTAGCTTCTGTCCAAATAATTTTCTTTAAAAAGTAAGGATCTAATTAGGTAAGGATCAGAACCGTCCAACAAATATGAATTGTTTGATAATCCTCTGGTTTTAAAATTTGCACTTGCGTAAATTTGTAGGAATGGATGTTATGCTGACCGAAGAATTCTTTGACTTTAACTTCTTCTCGTTCATTGGTTCCAAATCAGCATGTTTGGTTGAACTTCTGGAAGTTCTTGCTATAATTTAACATTATCCTTAAAAAATGAACAAGGTCATCAACATTTTATTTGAATAAACATTCCTTCCATTATAAAAGTTTGGAAACTTACATAGGTATTAATAATAACCCGTAAACTGTCAAATTTTCTAAATGTTCAATCGAGTTGATTAACAATGTCATGGTTACTTAAGGCAAATATACTTTTACAGAAACTGGCTTTTATTTCAGAATCGTTAATATCTACGTACATGAACATGATATATCATTTGAAGAAGTTTTTAATTATCTTCCAGAATGGTTGAAAAATTAAATTTTCATTATTTTTGTTTCCCTCGGTGTATTCGCATATTTTGAACGCCCCTGTGGAATTCACAGTGAACTTGTCTGCATAAAACTATTGCATGATACCTTTGTAAAGTGTATCCAAAATTTCAGTTCAATACGAATTAAAATAATAATAAAGATTTAATTATTATGTTGTGAAAATAGGGAAAAGAGTTAATGTATCGTAAACCGCTTTAGATATTGGACCGTACGTCAAATCGACAGTTCTGTTTGGATGTAGCATTTTTTCGACAAAATTTTATTGAAGTACACCCAATTTAGTAGGTAGAGCTCGCTGTTTAGACATGAAACAAATAAGTGTACGTGTTGTGAGATGTAACCTTGCAATTATTTGTGATCTCTACACGTTATCTAATATGTATATCTTGTTTTCAACGATGTGGCATTTTTTCGACAGCAAAAGTCAGCTGAGAATGTTACCGCCCAGTATCGTAGAAAGAAATTTATTTCAAGACAATTCACAACATTTTTGATTTTCATCTATGTTACTTTGTTGAGATATTTTTAGAATTTAAGACATTGCAGAAAAATTAAAAATGTTAATTACCTATTACTGTGTGACTGTGATATGTCATTTAGCGTTTCCACTAAGAAGTCGAAAGTAGATGTGCTGATACGAAAATAATTTAAAAATTTATTGTTTTCTTTGGTTACTTTTTTAATAGGGTGTAAAAACTGCCTTTTAAATATCTGACAGTTAACAGAGATGTACCCAAAATTGTATTTAGGGTTTTCTCTTTTGATATTTCTTTCTTTGGTACAACAACCCAAAAATATATCGTCTGTTAAAAACGTACATCTTTGTTTTACCACGTAAAAAAAAAATCGTTTACTACGTATACCGGCAACTGCTTTACCGTTGTGTGTAAAAACGGCTTTAGTGTGTATGATTTTTTTGTATAGTTATATAACCCAACAAAACCTTGTAAATTGCTAACATTTACTAATGATGTTAGCGACTGGTTCGCCAACAAAACTTTTGCTTCAACTGTTGTATTTTAAAACTTTTCCGCGGCACGAACTTAAGCTTTCAAAATTATTTTTTTATTCAAAAACCAAAATTACTATTCTTTTATTAAAACTGCGCGTCATCAAATTGGGTGCCTTTTTAATGAGTCAGATATCTAGTAGTGTAAAAAAATAAGACGCAGTTTAGAACGAATTCTTAATGTGTGGAGAACTTGCCAGAGAAAATCGCCACGCTCGTTGTCCGACAACCGGCCATAAATTTGGGTACACCGACTTCGTAATTATTTCGCATTGGCCACCGTCAGACAGTTTCCCGTCTTAGAACAACGTAACCATTACATAATTAACTAAATAGCCCTCTCATGTAATACACATAATTTGAACCAAATAAACGCTTCAAACTTCGTCATTAGAATTCCTTGAGATATTTACTTCCCACTTCGTTGTCATTGCTAAATAGTTAGAGTTCTGTAGCTAAATGTCTACCATAACTTTTGTGGTAGTGGTAATTTTATTATATTATTTTATTTTACAATTTCTTGAGATGGTTTGTATTAAAAATTGCGAAAATTAATCAGTTTCCAACGTACCAAGTATTTTTTTATAAAATAAACCCAAATAAATTTGATTCATTTTTATTCAGAACAATTGACAAATATGCAAAATCTCACCTCAGTCCAATACAAAATGTATTGACTTGTGTGTCCCAAAAGCTCTGAGAAGCTCGGTCTGCGGTAGTGGTAGTTGCAGTTAAATACTAGCAGGTTTATCCAAATAGTTAAAATTTTAAATGTTCCTAAAGCACCCTATTTTATTTTCGATAGTGTGGTCTTTCTCATAAAATGTCACTATTAAGTATCACCTTAACTGACGTTACTGTAACTTCTCAAAGATATATAGAAACCCATATTATGTAGATCAAGGTATATTACAGTACCTATTCCAGATAATTTAATAAAAAGAAATGTACAGTGGACACTCATTTTTGGAAAGGAGTAAATTTTGTTGAAAGAAAAAGTTTTATTTAAAAAAAAACAAACTATAGAAATTTGATAATTATTTTCCGTATTCTTTTTTTCAATAAATTTTTTTTTTTTCTAAATTCAATCAAACATAAAACTTTGGTACTCCATGCCTCTACTATCCTAGTCTTAATGCTTAAAAAATACTACTCAAAAATACTATTAGATTTTCACTTTAGAGCAATATATTCAAACCAAATTACATTTGTATTACTTAACTGTAATTAGTTACACCTTACAGGTAATGGATTTCTAAATATGACAAAGAGAAATATAAATAATTGTTCTCTACCAGATTCACAATTTAAGACAACTTTGGCAGTACTGGCTTAAACCATAACATGCCTACACTGAAAACACAATATTTGATGGCAACTTATTGAGGTTTACGGAATGATTTTCCTGCATATTTAGCGGCTGATCCCAATTCCTCTTCAATGCGAAGAATCTGGTTATACTTCGCTAACCTTTCAGATCTGCATGGCGCCCCAGTCTTGATTTGGCCTGTCGACAGACCAACAACCAAATCAGCGATGAAAGTGTCCTCAGTTTCACCAGATCTGCAATGATTCTTAATAAGTATTACATACAAAAAGTTTAAATGTGCAATAATAATGTTCAATTCAATTCTACTTTTTGGTAAAGTCCTTTAATCTATTAAGGTCAAAAAGTTGCAAATTATAGTAACAACTGATTTAAATTGTATAAATCTACATCTAAAATCTAGCACAAATACCTATGAGAGACCATTGTTCCCCATCCATTCTGCTTAGCTAGCAAATGAGCCTTGATGGATTCAGTAACAGTACCAATCTGATTTACTTTAAGCAGTAAGCAGTTGCAAGCTTTCTTCTCAACCGCAGTTTGGATACGTTTAGGGTTAGTGACAGTAAGATCATCACCAACAATTTGAATGTTGGTGTTGGCAGTGATGGCCGTCCATGCATTCCAATCATCTTGATCAAAGGGATCTTCAATTGAAATAATTGGGAAGTCCTTGATAAATTCCTGGTAAAGTCCCAACAGTTTCTCCGGGGTCAAAAATTTGCTCTTGTCTGATTGAGGATTTTTAAAATCCAAATCATACAGACCTGTTAAGATAATGAAAAACTTATTAGTTATTTTATCAACAACAAATGCACCAGCTACCTTCTTTATGAAATTCTGAAGCAGCAACATCCATGCCAATTTCAATTTTGCCTGTGTACCCTGCTTTAGCAATTGCTTCATTGATGAGGTCAAGAGCATCTTTGTTATTCAAGATATTAGGAGCAAAGCCACCCTCATCACCAACAGCGGTTGCATCCAGACCAAATTTATCTTTGATAACTTTCTTAAGGTGATGATACACTTCACTACCCATGCGCATAGCCTCAGTAAAACTGGATGCACCAGTAGGCAGAATCATAAATTCCTATATCACAAAAATATCTTGCAAACCCGCTTATAAAATTTAATTGAAATTATACAAGTCCACAAATGGTTTGGTTACTTATTGGATAAATGGATAGTTTCTTTTGAAAAGGTTAAAAGTGGAAACAAAGCAACTGGCCCTTTTTTTATTACAGCCACAAACAAACTGATTTTGTTAAATTTTTCCAATTTTTTTACACAAATATTCCAGTCACATAATGTAATTCAATATGAAGCAAAAATATTTGACAATTAGGTGTATTTTAGTTATTTGCTTTAGTAACTTAATGACTACATGAACTTTTTCTAATACCTACTTAATAAAAAAAGATTACTAATTATTTTGAGTATTTTTTCAAATAATTAAATATTGCTTTAATTAACAATTTAATTTTCAATCAAACCCTGTTCATTTCAAATTATTAATAAAACTTAAATTAATTAATAACCTAACCAATAACAACACCTAAGAGAACAAAAATTATCCAAATGCTTACCTGCATAGCCAACTTATTACCAGCATGAGAACCGCCATTAATTACATTAAACGCGGGTACAGGTAGGATAATATCTTTATTTCCAGCAAGATCTGCTAGGTGTTTATAGAGAGGGACACCTTTCTTGGCTGCGCCAGCCTTGGCCACAGCCAATGAAATTCCCAGGATGGCATTTGCACCGAATTTAGACTTGTTTTCAGTACCATCAAGTTTCAGCATGAAATCATCAATTTCAGTTTGCTGGGTTACTTCAAGCCCAGATTTTAGGACCTCTGGGCCCAGAGATTTGTTAATGTTATCAATTGCTTTCTGAACACCCTTCCCATGGTATTTTGATTGGTCATTGTCACGGAGCTCTAAAGCTTCATAAATACCTACAGGTTTTCAGGAATTTAGAACTGAGAACATCTCTATTTTGAAAATAAAAAAATTACTTGTAATGGATAGAACATACTACAAACAAAATCACCACAATAATAGATAAGTGATCTTAAAAAATTGACCATTTTCTAGCTGTAATCTAAACCAATATTCAAATTGTTTCATACTCACCAGTACTAGCACCTGAAGGAACTGCAGCCCGAAACAAGCCCAAGTCAGTAACAAGATCAACTTCAACTGTTGGATTACCACGAGAATCAAAAATGTTACGAGCCAAGATGCTTTTGATAGGCATTTTCGTTATCCTGGAACCAAGTTCATAAATAAACGAATTAACTGCTAAATGCAGTTGACATATTTTCATTTTTGTGAATGCATTTATTAAGCAAAGCTTCTATGAGGGATAGTATACAATTTTGAAAGCCTTACCTGGAATAAAACCTGTAGAAACTTATTTCCAAAATTCCACAGAGCCTACTACACCTAGGAACCGGCTGGAAATGAAATGTCAAAATTCCCGTGACTTTTTTAACCTCTAAAAGGTCGAATTAAGGTCGTTCCCATTCGAGTTGAAGGAACGATATTCAGAGGGCGCTGGGTCAGCTATTTTTAACCTAGTAAAAAGAGATTTGATACTTATTCATATTAAGTCACAAAATGTGATAGTAAGAATCTATCTACGTAGGCATAAAAAGATAATTGATATTATCATTTCTGCTTATCTTCGCTTGATCACTCCAAAAATTATGGAGTTTTCTATTTCTTACTTTGTGCTCATCTATACAAGCGTCGATAGATGGCACAAAATGGTATTTTACAGATTGGTTGCTTGAACTTGCACCAGAAATACGCTGCCCCACAAAAAAACAGGTACACAAAAACTGCTAGTAACTGCGCTTTCAGTCGGTTGTTCATTATAATAAAAAACGCAATTAGTTTAGATCCTAGTATTTATTGTCCAGTTTAACCATTTATTACGAATTCGCCTCTGGATGATAAACTTGTACTAGTTACAACACTAGATATTTACTCAAATCAATAAGTTTAATGAAGATACTATCCACATTTGAAAGACAAAGTTATTATTTACACTTGGAAGAAAAATTGATAGAATTACCTAATTCTTATTATTCTCATGTAAGTTAAGTACAAAGAACAGTTTTTTACTCTCTACTATAAAATATACAATTATGCACGGATCAAGCCCTTGTTAATTGTTATGTGTACAAAGAAAATATTTGGCCAGAAGGGATTTCAATTATCAACATCTCCAGTTTTATATGCATTTTATATTCAACACTGCGAAACAAAGTTAACTTAAATGACATCCATTTAAACAATCATTTACTAATTAAACAACAGCACAAGCTTGTGTAAAGTGTCTTTACCTACTTTAACAGATCACCTGTATAATAATAGAGGCACGGATTTGGAAACATTCGGGTGTTTTCGGTAGATTTTTGTCTCGGATATTTTGACGTTTCTCAATTACGAAGGTCACATCAGTTTTGCAAAAATGTATCAAAAAACTATTGCTAGTAAGAAAACTAAAATATGCAACGCATTGAGAATATTAGGTTGATATTAGATGGCAGCAGAAGGCCAGATTATCGGTGACACAAAGTAAATACTAACTAAATGGTGTTTATCAAAGTGCACAATAATATACTAATGTCAATGTTCCAAAGCATTTAAGAATAAAATAGTACGTTGATGAGTTTCCGTAAAATAATTATCTGTGTATGCATAACTTATAAATTAACCTAATGTTTTTTCTCAAAAACTGTATACTTTATTTATGCTCTACTCCTTAAATGTTGGTAAATAAAGAAATATCAATTAAAAAGTCAAAAATTGATGAAATTCACTCCTTTAGACGGGTTAATTATCTCTATGTTAAACAATTTGTGTTTAGTAAGCTTCTTCATTAAAATTAGTGACCTTGTTTAGTGTTTTTAGAGAAAGAATATCTATTATGAACTTTTCAACAGCGAGTTTACGGCAATAATTACACTACCAATGCAAAGTTTCAAATGCGCGGTTCAAGTTCGTATAATTCATCAGCGGAGTTTGATCTGATAGGAAGCCTCTCATCATTATGACAGTTCGGAGCTAGTTGGGCACTCTGATACCACCTATTGGTCCTAAATAAATACCACTTCTCTCGCTTTTCTTTCAGTATGTATACCCAGATAGTTTGAGTGTTGAGAAGTGACATTCAACATGCGCATAAGTAATTTATTTTGAAACTCGCTTTTGGCCCATAACACCTGTCATTTGAAACCAACCAATAAGACTTTGCGACATTGGACAATTATCATGGAAGCTGATAGTGTCATTTTTCGTCAGTATTTTATCATCATATGCCCAGATAAATAAATGTGTCTGGAGTTCGCAGTTTAGAAAGAAAATTGCGCAAGTGTGTAAAATTTATAACCCCTTTGCGAAAGTGTCTTAGCTATCAGTTAGTGGATAATAGAGCGGCAGTAACGGCATCCATGCATGCCCCCAAATTTAACATACTACCCTGAACTTTAAGACATTCTCTTTCTAAACAGCGATCTCCAAACACTGCGCTTAATTATCTAGCCGCTTGCTACTTGAGAGGTGTAAAAAGTTTGTTCAATTGGCGGTAAATATTTGCTAAATAATAAACAACAAATAAAAACTTAATAATAGGCTTCCATTTTTAAATGATCCTATTTCTTGTACGTCATGAAACACAATAAAATCACGCGTCGTTAAAAACGGGTTTAAAATGAATACGTAGGTAAATTATTTCGTGTCAATTTAATGGAGCAAAATGTCGAAATAATAGTTCTGCGGCAACCATGCATAGTTAATTTTGAAAAATGGAAGCAGTGTTTGTAACAAATAATCGGTGGCTACCTGTTTGAGAATATAAAAAGGAACTTGCTTTATGTAATATGCATAATTAGATTGCCCTTACATCGCATCGCGTCATTGGATTATTACTAACTGAAAATTCTTATTAAAAAGGATGTTAAGTTAGGTTGGAAGTATTGAAAGCTGAAAAACAAACAAACCACTGCTTGAATCACAAAGAATAACTAGACAATAATTTAGCTTTTACTGGAAAATAATTTAAAATCTCAAAACAATTGACCAATGTTGTTTAACCATATCTCCATGAATCCTCTACAAAAAGCATTCTCTACGAAAAGGAAGGAAAAAATACAGAAAACTAATAATTCTACGATGTCCACTTAAAAAAACTATATATTAAAAAACAAAGAAAATTTATTTATAAAAGATTAACTTAAAATAAACTGTTTATATTGGTATTTAAATGCGCCTCTGTTTTTAAATTGTACGGAATATTTTTAAACAAAACATAAATATTATAAGTGGAACACCTTTCATAATATACTGTGCTATGGGTTGGAGAGGATATGTAGCCGCGAAATCTTATATTAAGAGTGTGCACATATGTACGATATTGAATTTTATTTGTTAGATGCGATGGCCCATCTGTATTAATAATTTTATGAAACAACACTGCTGCATGTAAAATTCTGGGCTTCTCCATAGCTTCTCCACAGCGAATGCCATAAATGAATTGAAGGTAAGGTTCTGGACGCGCTGTATTCTGTGGCTGACTGTACTAAGGAGACAGGTAGATATGCACCATGCGCAAAATTAGTTTCTTCTTGTCACTCCTAGACAAAAGATGTTAAGGAATAACTTTAAAATTGAAATATGTCATTTGGATACATTTGTTGACTTGAGATTTAAATATTAACTCAAAATCAAAAATTAGCCCAAGATTCCTGCTCTCATTGGATTATGAGACATCATAGTCACCGATTTTGATTTTAATATGTTGAGACCTTCTATCATTATGTGTATCACAAAAACTTTGATTTAGTGGCATTTATTAACATGTTATGTCTTTCAACAAAACGCATCAGATTGTTTAAGTCCTCGTTAATATAAAGTTGAGCTATATTGTGTCTTTCGGGAAAAATGAAATATATATTTGTGTGTCATCCGCGACAAATAAAGTGAGTTAAGACAAATAAACTCATCAGCTGTTGCCGAACACACTCATGAAACCGGACATAACATTTTATTCGATATGGTGTTAATGCCTCTTTTAGCTCCGCCCCCCTCAATATATAAGCAAGTACAGAGTAAAATACGAGCCACTTTCAGTCTAGCTCTGAAGAAGCCAACAGGATAATTGGCGAAACGTCAGCAAGTTCGACTCGACTCGATTTTAATGCAGTTATTAATATTACATGTGTAAATTGAAAATAATAACGGGCCCAAAATTGACCCTTGTGGCACTCCATACATTTGTTTAGTTAGCGGTGACACACCAACATTTGTTTCTCGATGCTGACTCCATCCTCTGAAATTGCTATTAGTATCGCTTGCATTAATGATATCGTCAGTTATACTTAAGAGAGCAGTGGTACATCTGAATCTTGCCCTGAATCCAGATTGACACGTTGGTAAAATGCAAAATTATGTTCCCTCATTTTATAATTCATAATTTTTTCTATTACTTTCGTTCGTATCGGTAATAGAGTTATGGAAATAAATAATTCTGTTAACGCATAGTAAAATTATTTGCAGATTGATTTGATCTGACCCGATAGCAGTATTTCAAACATGTACTTCCTCGGAGATTGTATGGAATTGAAATTTGGAGTAGTTATTTCTGTTGGATTTTAAAAAGTGTTTATTTAAAGTTATGGGTTTGTTAAACTCGTCCGGAATTTTATTTGGTTGTTTTTTGCAATGTATATTAATTACGATTTAAGTGTATTTAAATTCCAATTCGAGTCGTTGCGCCGGTTTTGATATTTTTTATAGGCTTTATTTTTTAGGAGTATCATATTATTTATAGTGTATGTTAACCAGGGCGGTTTATTATTTTATTTTTAAAATGGGAGCCAATGTATCAAAGATATTTATTATGTAAATGTTTAATGTTGTGATTTTGTCATTTTTATTTTTTATATAGATGATCCTCGAACGCAGTGATAGTCAAAAGATTGTTTAATAGGTCCCTCTCGATATTTTTCATGTTTCTTCCATTTATAATCTCGTTATCACTAATCTTAATGTTTTCTAGATCACAATATGTTAAAAAATGATCAGAAATACCAATATCCTTCACGCCTGTATCAAAATGACTATTTCATTGGGTAGTAATATAAAGTCTAGTAACGTGAAAGTACAGGTAGTTACCCTGCAAAATGTTTAAATTTATATCGCCGCCGCAAACAATTTGAAAAGGTTAAAAATGAGCCAGACGTTTCTAAAAGTAATTTAAAAATTCACGAATATTACCCTACCTTTTTATATATAAAGCTACACCTTCCCCCCTAGAATGTCTGTATCCGGGAATAGCAACAATATTATCACTAATATTTGAATTTAGCCAAGTTTCTGCTACATCATAAAAATTCTGCACAACAATCTCAGTAAAATCAGATAAACGTGGTACAAGAGACCTTATATTAAGGTAATCAATTTTAATACCCTTCATCAGCATGCACTCCTAGGCAAAACTAAGTTATTTA